GTGCTGCTTTCAGTCTCCACAAGCAGCAGCAACAAGTAAGGATTCCCCAGCATGTGGCAATTCAAGAGCAGCAGGAGAAATGTGTGAGAGCGAGAAGGGAATCAGACAGTTCTCCATGTGGCAAGGCAAATGTGACATATAACTACTGAGCAGTTAGGCATATCTTATTCCTCCTGTGAACCTAAGGGATAGCTCAGGTTATGCTCATTACAAGAAGCCTGCAGTCCTCCCCCAGCTTGCCAACTGCTCTTTCCCAGGATGGTGCCAGTCACTTATGGCTGCCACAGAGGCAGCACAGGATGTGACACTGTGACGCAGGGTGGGAACTCACCAGTGTGCCTGCTGAGACCAACTGTGGCCTGAGACAAGGCCACCCACTCATCAGGAAACGACTCTTCTGAGCATCCAGACATCTAGGAGGAAGTTTAGTAGCAGAAAAAGGAACAGAGCAGAAAGTGCAGTCATGGGAAAGACTTAAAATGCCTAGAATAAAGAAAAGCAAATGTGCAGACATGGACACCAACCTAAAATAAACCCTAAAAAACAAAACCCAGAAGAGCAGGCTCTGGCTCCCCTGCAGTGCACACCACTGAATACAGAAGAGGGACCAGAAGCTGCAGTGAAGCTGTCAGCTGGGTCAGGTTTGCCGAACAGAAGGGACAAGGTGTTACCTAGTGCAACAAAACATCCATAGCTGCTGCTGAAAAGTGGCTGCATCTTTGCCGCAGGTCTGAGCATCTGCCTGCAGTAATGGCCATCCCTAGAGGGAAAACTGCTGCTGCCAGGGAAGTTCATCCGCCCCAAAGGCAGGAACAGGGCTGAGAGCATGGCAGCGCTCAGCACTGCTGCCTTTTGAACTAACTCAGAGATTCCAGGATGCATTAGATAAACATCTTCATCCAATTTAAGCAAAAATAATTTATTCATAAATGTCTCATGAGAAAGGAAGCACACCTTATTCAATATTTTATGTAGCTGATATGATTAGCAAAGGATTTGTAACTCACAGGTTCGTAAACAACCTTTTTGAAACTAATGCAGAAGTGGGAAAATGGTGGCATTCAAGCTCCTGCAGAGAATGTTGGAATCGCAAACTCATGTCTCCCCCTTTTAACAACAATGTAGTATGATTACAATTTTGCAGAATTCAAACTTAAACAGGGTAAGTTCAGATTAGATATTATAAGGAAGAAGTTCTTAAAATTCTAAAAATTCAAGGCTGAGATGATAATCCTTACCGTTATCTTTGCTATTGATCTATTTAGATGTTTATATTACATGTTTACTGGTTTTCTTCATTTTCTGCAAACGAGGTAGTTCAATAGGGTCATATCAGCATTTATGAACTGAATTATTCTGTGATTCAGTTTTCACTTTTGTTACCCCTGGGCACAAATATCACTCCCATCACCAATGTTGGCCTTGGTGGTGGAGTAAACTGGATGCCGAGTTCAACCCAAAGCAAAAGCATAGATAGAGAACGTCATAAGGTCAGGAGAATATTGCATTGCTGGACTTTACAATTCCTTACTCCTTGTCATGCATCCAGCACCCGTGGGAGCAGACTGAAGGAGATGAAAATCCAAGTGAGCTCTGTACAAAAGAGGCTGTCCACAAATAATTGGAAGTGATTTGTAGTGAGGTCTTTAATTCCAAGTCTGTCTGCTTTATAGAAGAGTTGGGATTTAATTATAGTTGTTGCAAAGCTTTCCCGACATTCTTGAGACTACTGAGCACATACTTAAAGCAGCAAATTCTGCGAACCACTAACATTAATTTTTCCTTATAAATCCTAGGAAAATGGAGATGTTGCTCAAAACTGATGTGGCATTTTTTAATCATACTAAATGGATGGCCAGCAAATTGTGGGTCAGTCCATGTTACAGTAATTCCTAGCAAAAGAATGGGAAATAGGGATTTGTCAGAGTAGTGTGTCAGAGTGAGAAGTTCATACAGCATTTAACCTCCTATTGTGTGACATTTTGATTTAAAAATTAATGCTATCAATACTGCAAGTACTAAGTGGATTAAAAAGTAAATGTATGTTTTATGGGGTATTTCTTAAAGAGAATATACTTAATGGAAGAAGGTGTCTCTGAAGAGCTCTGCAGTGAGGAGTGCCTGGCCCAGTACTGCTCTTTTTTTTTTTTTTTTGCAGGGGGAGAGAGGGGAAAGTGTTGGAAATGAAGTCAAAGCTGGCTAATAAAGTTTGCAAAATTCACACACTAGCAGAGTAGCAAATCATGATAAGAACTTACACAACGTGATTCTAGACTGCTATATAAACTGAACACATATTGCAGGGGGGAAAAACCAACAGAGCAAACAAACGCTGCTGCAGCCAATGACAGGATTCTCGCTGTCTTTGACAGAGACAGTATTTTACATGACTTTTTTTAATAGACTCAGACAAAGGTTAATGTATCTGTGAGCAGAGATTGCAGTTCTGCCTGTGAGGACTGGGACACTGCATTAAGATAAACAGGACTGAAAATATTCATAGGTCACAACAGATCAACCAGCTGAACAAAAGCACTGGTGATAAGACTGCTGCTGCAGGGCTGCACTGGGAAACAGGAACATTTTCACCTCACTGAGCTGGAGTCCTTGGCCTGAGCAGGTCCAGGAGCACCCACCATGTTACCAAAGAGCTGAGTGGTCCTCGGCCAGATGCTTCACTTTTTCTGTCATTCATTTTGTATTTCCTAGTTAATGATGCTTGGCCCAGCCTGAACCTTTCTTCTATCTCAAAAGTCAAACGATTATTGATAAATTGTCAAAGGTTCAGAAATGAGTTGGGCGAGTAATCCAAAATCTGGGAAGTGTGTATTAGAGTGATTAAGCATCTCTGGCACCTTGGCTTTTTTGGAGTAGCAAGTAACTAGATCAAGGTCTTTATGTGGGAAAAAGATAACACCTGATACATTACAGTTCTGTCTTCTATTAGACAAAGTTACAAGAAAACATAATACCTGGAAACTGAATTTAGACAAATAATTGCCATTATATGATCTCCTAAATCTTGTTTGGGGTCTTGTCACAGGCTGTCCCTAGACACTTTTCTGCAGATGTGAATCTGCAAAACAGACCTAATATTCCAACGTAGCAACTTGACTTCAAGACCCACATTTAGTTTCTGACAAGTTACTGTCCTTAGCTCTGAGGCCCCCCAGCCAGGCACAGGAAGGAAGACTACAAAGGAAACAACCACACTGTATTTCACTTAGAATTGTTTTCATTTATGAACTGCAACATTTGAAACAGTCAGAGCCTGAAGGCAGCCTCCCTGTGCCACATCTCCCGAGCTCAGGCACACCAGCTCTTTACATCTTCTTGGCCATTTCCCATGGCGATGGCAGGGACAGAGGTGCTGCAAGCAAGAGCTGGCTCTGGTCTCTGCCCACCTCAGGCTCCTACAGAGAGTTATTCTGCATGGTCCTGAGCTAAAAACCTCCACAGAACATCAGGGAAGAGCTGCATGATGCTGATGGCCCTTGATCGCTTTGTCCCATCTCCTCCATCCCTGGTGGCAAGGTCCAAGCCAGCACTGTCAGGGGAGGGCTCCAGACCATGGTGACATCTGTAGGACTTTCACAAGACCAAACAGGATTTGAAGTTTGACAAAAGAGCTCCAAAATTCTGAGATGTTTTGCTAAATACATACCCTAAAGACCAACCACCAGTTTTTGCTGTGGAGGCAGGGTGTTCTGGGGGAATTGTTACAACCCGTGTTTTGCAAACAACGGATCTATTATATTCATTTCTCAAAAAGACACATTATGAATCAAAAATCAATTCGTACATTGAGAATTTCTTTTTGAGTAATGGTACCAGGGGAAAAAAAGTCCCAACAAACCCAGAAGTGCTCTCTTTCAATATTTTCAACATAAAACAGTCTTGGTTTTATTTTATAACAGTGCTTCATTCTAAAATTGATCTATGTTTAGTGTTAGTAAAGGGTAAAAATATGTGAAAAGTGAGTAATTTATCTGACTGGATATTAGTTTTCCCTAATATACTTTCAGTTTGGCCACCAAACAGAAAAATCAATTATTCTCACAACTCTATTCACTGTAAATAAGTGCCTCTCTTCCAACGCACTCCTTTCCAGTTTCCTCCTCTTTATGGAGACTTTCTTTATTACCAGAAATAGTAACTTGTGGTTTTCCCCAGATAGTATCTTCTGACACTCTCACTCATATAAATTCCCCTTATTTTTTTTTTACTGCTAGTGGTAATTATAACTAGTTAGCTTATGCTGTAAGTTTCATTAACACAATCTCTATTGCCTCCTTCAGATAATGAAGCTATTAATTAAAATTGTATCTAACAAGGATCCACTGGGTATGTGACTAACTATTGTTCCAGTGTGGTTAGATGCTGGGTCTGATTATTTTCATTGTCTTTCAAAAGGTTTTCAGTACACGTTGTATTGAGCCAATCCAAGTCACTCAGAATATTTTGGACAAGATGCTACAAAACAGAGGATCATGTTCTTCAGCAAAATCAGAATGCTATCGCCCTTTCCTCCTATTGCCATTTAACCGGCAAGAAGTATGTTGGATAAAACATATACTGTGTAAACTCCTACTGTTTACTGATCATTGGCTTCATTAGCCTCTTCATGCTAGTGGGCATATGCAGCTACTTCCCGCATCACTGTATGCCCACTTATTTTATGCAAAGAGTGTGTAACATTGCCAATTTCCCACTGTGAAAATCTTGATACTTTTTTTCAGAGCTATTAAAGTGTTGGCTCCACTCAACAGCTGTTTACCTTGGTACCACCATCAAGATGAGAAATGAGTTTGGGGCCAAAGATCATTTTGGCAGTAATGAAGTAAACATTTATTCAAATGACAGCCTGAGGCTAAAAACAAGGAGACATTCCAGAGGTCTGTTAGCATCGGGAGAAAGACTGAGAGACTACAGAAAGTGTTGTTTTATTTCTCAGGGGAAAGGGAAAATATATAACAGATTACATGAGAACTGTAATTTGGTGGGGGATGTTTCTGTTTCATCATTGGTATTAAATTTGATCATATGGTTAACAACATTAGCATCATCATCAAAAGGTAAAACTACAGATGAGATAGGAGTAGGAGTAGGAATAGGAATAGGTTAAAGACTACCTAGATGCACTCACTGATCCTGAAAATTACTGAGGGAATTGTAAATGTTACAGGCAAGAGGGTGAGGCAATATCATGGTATGCATATGGGATAAGTTTTAGAATATTAGAAAGATTATAAATAGACAAATACAGTGTCTTGTGTTTAGAAAAGGATGAGGGAGGAGTCTGAACATAAGAGAATAGAACTGAAGAAGTACAGATTGGTCTGCAAAGCTGTAACTCTTAGAATATTATAGAAATAAACAATGTTTTTTATGAATACATGGAAGATAAAAGAAGGATGAGTAACGCCTGACATGGACTTATTGAGGAACAATCTTGTCAAATTTAATTTATTCTGTTTTATTACAGGATAACTCGCCTTGTAGATAAAGACAAAGGTATAGGTGCCCTATATCTTGACTCTTCCAAGGCCTTTAATGCCCTCTTACATAATATTTTCATAGCCAGATGAGGAAAGGTTGTTTAGGTGAAGCTCCTGGAAGGTGAATGCATAGGTAGGTGGCAAGGAACACTTTAAAAAAGTAGCTACTCCTAGCTCACTGATAAATCAAATGTGTGTATCTATCTTTAGCAGTTCCACAAGAGTCTGCCTTATGTTCGGTGTTAGCCACTGCTATTATTAATGGCTTGAACAATGAAATAGGTTATATGCTTATTAAATCGCCAGATTCTATTAACCTAAGTGAGCTGCAAGCACTCCGGAGACTTACGCAGTTAAGTACTTAAGCTGTGCCCAGGTTAGTATAACTTGCTTGTCATCAGGGCTGATTAATCACATTAGCATCTTGCTAATGTGACTACACTGCTTGTGGTAGCTGCAATATCCCTGAATGGCACTGCATTATGCCACAGAGATACTCTGAAAGAGAGAAATTCCATTCTTTCTCCATTTAATCTCCTTCCCCAGACCTGCTATAGGTCAAGATGGTGATTTACTAGCAGGTCACTTAGGTACATTTAAACATTTTACCATAAATCCTCCTGGAAACACAGCAGACTTAGTTGTACCATGTTGTATAATGCCAGGGTGATTGCTCACTTTGTACTAGAATATCATCTTGTGCAGCATCAAAATCTCTCTCTGCAGCTCCCAAGTTTCCTCTCCTCTATCCAAGTATTGATCACACCCTGCATGTTCAAAAGGCCTGCATAGTCCCTAATGCCTACACTAGAAGTATGGTAATTTTCCTGCTTTTCCTGAAAATATATTAGATTGCAGGAGGACTGTGAATCTAGCAGATCAATTCCAGAGGAGTTAATATCACCTACTTTTGCCTCCCTGTTGAATAGTTCTAAAATTAGAAACAATCAGAAGCTTTACACAGCATCCTAATTGGCTTGTCACTAGGGTAAAGCAACCGGCCAGATTCTGACTTACTGGAGATCAGAAGGTCCTCCTCTTGCTACATCCTCGCTGTGTTACCTTTCAGGAAGAAATATCTGGAAATAAATGTAATATATATTTAATTGAATTAGAATGTTAATCTATTTAGAGCTTCATTTTTTAACCAGTGTGAGGTATTTTCAGTCATTCTCCACTGTGAAAAAAAAATTAACTGAAAACATCATAAATCACATCCTGACTGCAGTAATATTACCTTGTTAAGGGCAACGAAGGGACTCAGGCATTGGCAGGTACAATTTTGAAAGCCTCATCAATGTTATGATTATCAGCATAGAGTCCTTATTCAAATGATTGATGTTTATGGTAGTAAAGTTGCAGCCACCTGCATGATGCCTGGGGCTCTGGAGAGAAAAACCTAAAATGCATCTTATTGGCAGGAGAGTTTACATACTTAAACTAGGCTGGTCTAGAGAAACATATATAGGTCCTTCGCCATGTGAATTCCAGTCTAGGAGACATATCTTGATTAAACTTTTATTATATGAAAAACATGTCTAGACACCAGCCTTAACTGTACAGCTATCTTTGACGATGTACAGTATATAGCCTGCAGCACACTATTTCACAGTTCCTTTTGTATTGAATCTACTGACCCTCTGGCAAACAGCTGCCACAGCAAGAGAGGCGAAATCTCCATCACTTCAGGAGGAGTCTCTGATGGTGTCTCTGAATGGCACAACACAGCAAGCCACCTGAAAGCTCTGTCTGGGCTAATTAGCAGCACTGACAAGCAGGCTATGCTACTGAGGCAGAGAGCTGCATAGTGTGCTGTTGGGAGCGAGATCACTTACTTAGAGAAGCCCTAAATGCTGCCATGCAGAAGGCTCTTCGCATTGCAAGATAGCTTAGCAGGCCCCAAGAGGCAGTACTTCTTGGTTGGCTGGGACTGGAAACTTTAGGTCCCAAGCTCCCAAGAGGCCCATTAAATGCTTCAGTTTAGCCAGTGTGTTTCAGAGCTGTTCTGCAACCCCTCCAAGTTGGAGAGGCTGAGGGAAGAAAGCTGAAGGAGGTCTTAACCGAGCTGTATGTCAGAGTGCACAAAGACTTATTCTCCACCATGGATCTTAATAGCTATGTTCCCACTTTCCCTGTACTTGCTTCATCGGATTCATCTGTGCTCCCACCTGTTTTACCCTCCAACTGCCACTGTTCCTCCCACTTCTTTGCAGGGAAGCCTATCCTGGATTATGAAGTCCAATCTGCTGTCACAAGGACTCCTGCTACTTAATCCCTTTCCCCTGCTTTTCTTTCTTTTAAAGGCCGATGGGATCTTTTCTTCCTTTCAATCTTTGCTTCCACATACATCCCAGGTACTTCTCACCTCCCTCACATCCTTTCCCCTTCACTGCAGCCATGGCTCCTTGCCTAACCACCAGTCTCCCACTGTCCCCCTCTCTGTTTACTGAAGTAGACTCTGTCACTTGCAGCCAACTGCCTTGGCTCAGGGTACATTTTGGAATATGTGACTTTTACCTGATGATTGCAGGAGTATATCGACTCCTGCAGCCTGCTTGTGATGCAGCTCCATCAGGGTCATGCTGTGCTTCCTGGCTCTGCCCTGCTTTATGGGTGCCCTACAGGACTCCTCCTCTGCTGTCACCAGTAAGAACAGGACTAAATTCAAGAGAAGTGGGGCAAATATTCTAAATTACTCACATTTTAAGGTAAGCCTAAATCAGACCATTTCTGGCTGAAACACTGACAGCAGCAGCAGTTTTTCTGAGACTGATAACAGTAATTCTAGTCATCCCTTTGCTATGCCTCTTCCACAGTTGTAAACACTGCAGAAATAGAAAGAAATGCCATTTCCCACTCCCTGGAAAGGAACATTTCACCAGTGCAGCTGGGCCCCAGGGGTCAAGAAAGCCAAAATGTGCAGAAACTATAATAAAAAAGACATCATATAAAAGTTAATGCTTTTTGATAGACAGCAAGAGCTCATCACTGGTGAGGCAGTCGGTTGCCATGGCGACAGGCTGCACACCAGGGCTGCCCGGGCTCCCCGCACTCCCACCAAAAGGTCTCTAACAGGGAATCACTCCCTTGCTCAGAAATCACTCCCCTGCTCCAGAAGAACATACCCGCGGCTGCTTGCAGCCAGCTCTTGAGACAAGGGAAAAACTGATTTGGACTGACACATGTTTAAGATGCTATCTACCAGTGCTGGCACCCGGTGAAGCTGTAATGAAGCCCGAAACATGCTTAGGTTACCTTGGTCATCTGTGAAATGGCACAAAAAATCCTACTTGGCCTTTAGCATTGTCCCAGCTTCAACTCGTACTGAGTGCAGGAAAGGGGGGAGTGGAGACTTTCTCCTTCTTCAGCTTTTATTTTGGATGCCCACGTGTCCTTGGACACCTCAAGACTACCATGACTTTGCCTTCCCACTCTTCCAGCCAGAGGACTGAGGTCTGTCCAAATTAGAGGATTTTGTTCTTTGGACATACCCATATCAGTTGCATTAAATGGTTATAATAGTTGTATGTAGCTATTTAAGTGGACTCAGAGTGAAATTACTAGCTGTTGGCAGGCATTGGGTGAATGTGATAGCCAGTGAGTGATACCCAAGAAACCCAGGAGGGAAGTCCCAGAGTGCCCATGTAGTCATTCTTCCATGCAGCTACAGACATGTTAGGCAGACCCCTCAAGCAGGCTGGGAAAAAAAGCCTCCAAGGCAGAGCTGCATTTTATGAGGGCTGGATAGGGGAAACTGCTCAGAGGGAGGGCAGGATGCAGCTGTGTGCCTGAAAGGTGTACCTCCCCCAGGTTTCCCTGTCTGTGACATGGTGCGTAAGAACATGGGTAAGCATGTTCTCATGCATTCTGTTTTTCCCCAGTTCCCTCAACTGTCACCCTAACAGGGTCCAGCCCCACCAAAAGTGATCATTCATTGCCACACACCTGTATGGCTATTTATTCATTAGTACTTAACTTCCTACTACCCCATTCCCTCCTCACAGGCATCCTTCTCTTCTGGGTAAGTCCTCTCTTTCTAGCTCTTCTCCAGCCATGCACTTACTCCTTCTCTCCACTCTCTCTTAATTTCCCACCACATGAATGCCCAGATGTGCATTTCTTGCCAGACATTGCCCATGGCCCAGCAAATGCATTCATCTGTCGTTTCTAACCCACTGTATCCAAAGGTTTTCCCAGTACAACACACAGTCCTTACCCGTAGCACTCCAAACAAAATGTTTAAGCAGTTCTCTACCACTGCAAATAACTGACTAGTTCCAAAGAGAAATGCTGTGATTAGAAACATTAACCAAATAATAAGCTTTTATTTTGTGCTTTGCATGATAATCTATATATATATAACAAATCAGCACATTTGTTGTCAGATAAAATGATCAATAGTAAGTTCCAAGCCAATTTGGGGCACAAAGTATACTTTGAAAGATTTTATAAAATCTCTTTAAACTTGCTTATTTTAGCCACACACACAAAAATGTTTTTAAAAACAGTATTATGGATGTAAAATCCAGCATGGAAGAGGATGGGCCAAAAAAAGAGCTGTCTGCCAATTGATTTACACCTGTTTTGTTCTGTGTTGTGTGCTCACATGCTAATTGGTAAACGGGATCCTGCCTTATCAGGCACCTGAGACAGCATCTGCTGTCCAGAAAGATCAGGATGATGAGAATCCTGTTTCACCTGTTGAAGAAGCCTTTGGTGAAAATCCTGCCGTAAGACCTGGATTTTTTTAGATGAGACTAGGCTGTGCCCCAGTTAATGTCCAGGGAGAAAAATAGTAGAGGTACAACAGGGTTGTTGGAGAGAAAGGATAATCTCCCGAGGATTAAGATGATGAAAGCTTTCCTGAAGAGCTGGAGACTATCCCTGTTTGTGCCACAGAATTCTTCTGTGGTGCCAGGCAAGATGCTTAAAACTTTTAATAGATGAGCAGCAACTCAGTACAGCTCCTTCTGAGGCTTCATCTACAGAACTGCTGCAACCAAAATCCATGTGAGTTCTGCTTTGAAGAATGAAGTCCCAGCTGCCTTTTAAGTGTTCTGTCCAGAATATACCCTCAATATACCTCTCATAGAGACATGGTATTTTCTAATATTATAAAGCACAAATGTAATTGTGATAAGAGCCATAAAAACACCTCCTGACCCTATCTTTGGGTATTCTCAAGAAATCTCTGGTACCAAAGAGTGAGACTAGAGGAGTCAAAGCTCTAGAGGTATGCAACGGGAATGATTCATGTGTCCCCCAAAACAGGCATCTAGTACCACTTTCTAGTGCCTCTTTGGTATCAGAGGCCAGAAAGGACATCCTAGGACAACCAAACCAGCCACTGCCTGGACACAGGCAACTGCGTCTTCTTTGCCACACACTTTTACTCAGCTTGTGAGAAGAATCCTAGTTTCTTCCTCTACTTCTGGCCTTTTGCTTTCTTGCTTCCATACTTCCCTACCCCAGACTTGACTCTCTTTCACTGGCTTCTCCTCCAATCTCACTATTTCATCCTCCTCAGCTCCCTTGGCCCATTTCTTCTGCCAAGCACATTTCTCCTCTCCTGGCTCCTTCCCAGGTCCGTATATTTTCCTCCTGCCATACTAATTCCAGGTTTCATCTTCTTTGTGTGCACATTCACAGGCACATCATCCACTAAACTGGCCACTTGCCCCAAACCCCTTCCCCACTACCTCCCTTTTTCTCTCAGAACTTCTTGCCAAGGAGGCTGGCACTTCACTCCAACATCCATCCCTATATTGTTTGTCTTGGGCAACTTCAGGCCTCCTCTTGCCTTCTAGGTCTGGATTGTATTGTCTTCACCTCCACACTCAATGGCCCCTTAGAGGACAGGAAAGACAGGCAGCAGCCCTGGGGCCCAGGTAGCCTCTGCCAGGGGAAAACAGGACGGAGCATGGAAGGGAAAGGCCATCACTCCTCTGCTGCTTGAGGCTGGAACAAGTTCAGTTGCTCTCTGAAGGCAGCGTATGAGCAGTCTGGTCACGTGCAGCAACTGCAGTAGGAGCACGGTGAGGCAGTGGAGCATACACAGGCACCTCTGTCAGTGATGGACAAAGAACACTCAGTGGTTGCAAAATCTCCAGGAATTTTAGCTGTAGTTTGCATGCTTGGACCCACCTCCCTAAGAAAGTGAGGCAAGCGTCAGTACTGGGGGCACACACTGCTCTCGCTGCCTGTGCCTTAGGAAGCCCATGCCATGTGTGCCACGCTACTGCCCTCCAAGAGAGGAGCGCTCCCGCATGCAGGGCAGTAACAGCATCACTGCACCGAGGCAGCTCCCTTGTGCTCCCACCCTTCAGCAGCTGCTTCCAAAGCTCTGACTCTGTTCCAGACATGAGTATGGGGTCCCAAAACCTGCTGTCAGGTGCTGCCCCTTCCTAGCCTCTCTGCAGTGCACTGGGGGAGGGCTGGCATGCTCTCTGCGTTGGCTGTGCCTAGTTTTTGGCAGAAATCAAGTTTGGTGAGAAATAGATGGAATTTCATTTTCGATAGTGGTTTCCACAGGAATCTTCCCTCCTCGCAGCCCCTGACGAGCACTAATGTTCAATTGAGTGCAGCCCTCTGCCGGCACCGAGCAGAGCCTGCTGCGGCCGAGGTGGCTGCTCGCTCTCCAGCACCTGCTTCTGCTCCATTCCGGGCGAGGACAACCCTGAGAGCACTGTGTATGTGCCACCGATTACCGTTGTTAACTCAGACTCAGCGCATAGGTCGGGGACTGCAAATCCAAGTGTCACTGGCATAGGAATGATTACTACCAGATGCTAATTGCTCATTAATATATGCTAATCACTGCTGCATGCCAAAACGCTCAACGCGCCGAGTGCCAGGCCAAAGTCACTGGGCTGGAGCGGAGCTGCTGTTCTCCACCAGTGCCACCTCACCCACCCTCAACAAGAGCCTCATGGTGGTCTTCTCCATGGCCGCCATCCCACCTCCCGAGGTGAGGAGCAGTCTCTGATGATTTCTGCTCCCCGGGTTTAGGACTTTACCCCCACGCGGTTTGCTTCAGCAGAGACAAGGGTCTCATGGCCCGCGGCAGGAGGCGCTGCTCGGGGGGGGGGGGGGGGGGCGCAGCGGCAGCCCCCGGCTGAGAACGGGTCGATGTTTTGTGAGGGAACAGAAAACCGCACACACAGGTTTTAAACTTCAGAATGCGCTGCCCGAACACTGCCTCCCAGAACACGCAGTACGCGCAGCACCGGGACCAGCTCCACCGCCCAGCCGCTGCCCGGGCCGGGAGCCCGCCGGCCTAGGGGCTGAGGGGAGGCCACGGCTGCAGCACCCCCCGCCGCCGCAGGCTCGCCTTTCCCGCCCTTGCCGCCCCTCGCCCCTGCCTCTCCTCAGGGACGGCGCCTCAGCCTTGCGCCCCTCACCCCTGCGTTGTTGCGCGTGGCGGCCCCGCCGCTGCCGCTGTGGCGGCTGTCGCCCAGCGCGGAGCCGCGGGCGGCGGCGGGAGGGCGGGCTGCGGGGCGGGCGGTGCGCGGTGGCCGGCAGCGCTGCGCCCCGATAGGCGGCGGCGGGCCGTGCTGGTGCGGCCGCTGCCGGTGCTAGTGCTGGCGCGGAGCCGCTGAAGCCCGGCGGAGGGGCTCGCGGGCTCTCGCACGCAGCGGCGGAGAGCTTCGCGTCGAGCGGAGCCAGCGGGGAGGAGGAGAAGGAGGAGGAGAGGAGGAGGAGGAGGAGGAAGGGGAGGGGGGATCTTCTCGGCGAGGATGCCCGGAGCGGCTGCAGGGACGGCGGCGACAGGAGCAGGCTCGTCAGGAGCGGCAGCAGCGGGGATGCTCCCAGCTCAGGAGGCGGCCAAGATCTACCACACCAACTACGTGCGGAACTCGCGGGCCATCGGCGTGCTCTGGGCCATCTTCACCATCTGCTTTGCCATCGTCAACGTGGTGTGTTTCATCCAGCCTTACTGGATCGGGGACGGCGTGGACACCCCGCAGGCGGGCTACTTCGGGCTCTTCCACTACTGCATCGGCAACGGCTTCAGCCGGGAACTCACCTGCCGGGGCAGCTTCACGGACTTCTCCAGCCTGCCCTCGGGAGCCTTCAAAGCCGCTTCCTTCTTCATCGGGCTCTCGATGATGCTCATCATCGCCTGCATCGTCTGCTTCATCCTCTTCTTCTTCTGCAACACAGCCACCGTCTACAAGATCTGTGCCTGGATGCAGCTGACCTCGGGTGAGTGGAAGCAGCGGCTCCGTGGAGGGGGGCTCGGAGCCGCTCTGCCCTGCCCTGCCCGGCACTGCCCAGGCTGGCCCCACGGGGGTACAGGCGGCGCTGGGGAAACTTGCGGCCGCCCGAGCCGGCAGGGGACAGGGAGAGCGGCGGGGCGGGGGGCGCGTTCCGGGGTGCCCCGCCGGGGCGGTGATGCTGGGGGGGAGCGAGGAGCACCATTGGCGTTGAGGAGCGGTGCCTGTCCCCGCCCCCCCACCCGCGGGGGTATCGGGCGTGGGCCAGGCTCAGGCTCAGCCCAAAGCGCCCGAGGAGCTGGGGCACCCGTAGAAATTGTCCGGTTTCGGCCTGCGAACCGACCCGTGCGCATCAAAAGGCCCCGGGGAGGGCTGGCGGGCAGCGGCAGCCCCACGTTGTCTTCCAGCGCTTGGGCTGGAGCTTAAAGGTGACGAGAAAATGGCAGTGGGGGCCGTGCGGACGCTTCGAGCAGGTGATGGTGGGTGAAGGAAACTGCCAGCCTGTTGAAGGTTAGCGCTGAGCCCAGGTTTCCACCTGGTCAAGGCAGAGCCCACTTCGGTTCAATGGGAGGGCATGGAGAGGTCTTTTGCTGGCCAACTGGAAGGGCAGGTGAGGTCACTGGAATTTACATGCATGAGTTTTGGCTGGGGTCTGTTCCCCCACTTCACAGGGACTTTTTTCATCTGCGCATTATGAGTTTAAAGAAAACAAAATTCATTTCAGTTTCTGGTTTTGACTCGAAGGTTTCCTGATTTCATTTGCCTTTCCCCATCACATCTAGTGTCTCCCTGGGGGAAGCTGATGATGAGGAAGAGGGAGAACACCAGGACATCCCTTTTTGCATTTCCAACACAGCTTTCCTTTTGAGTTAGTACAGAACTGGTGATTTGTGTGCAGCTGGGAGACAGAGGAGGAGAAAAGAATTGTCTGTAGACTTGAGATAGTAATAAAATCAGCTGTAGTGTGATAGAAAATATTAATTCTTCAATAATTTGGGAAAAAAAAAGAAGTCTAATATCAAATCATACCTTCTACTTGTCCTCATGATAAAACCCTGACATTGAGAAGTTTTGGCTTTGTAAGAGCAAGCTGTTTGGGAAACAGCAAAATGTCTCCTGAATAGTCTCACAATCACTTTTTCAGTCCCCTTAATTGACCTACATTCATTTCAGTTTCTGAGCAATAATTCTTCTGAGTTGTTTGCTGAGCAGCTTCAGTGTTCTTCAGTTTGCCACCTAGTCCATGAGGCTTACTGGAAATTTCTGGTTTGTATGAAACAGCTTTAACTGCTTTTCTCTGCGATGCTGTTTTTAAGTGTGTTACATGTATTTTCACGCTGTTTCTGTCACTTAAGTTTCTGTATGGTTTCTTTCTTTATCACTTGGGGGTTGATCTGCAGTCACCTGAGGTTCGTAGATTTTTCCCTGACTCCAGCAATAGTAGCTTTGGGCTCTTCATCTCTGCATTGGGAATCCTCTTTGGTGCTGGTGGTTACTTTGTCTGCTGAGTAACATGCATTCTGATATGGTCTTATTCATTGTACGCTGTCCTGTCACTTGGCTCCAGGCAGAATAAACTCTTCCATGTTTGCACCACTGATGTCTTCTCTGCTCCATTAAGGACTTCTGCTTTCAGCTGTCTCCTCTTCTTACGGCTCTGCTAGTTAAAAGTGACATGAATATTCACTGGTTTGGTGTATCCTCAGCCTGGTTTGTTCATGTCCAGTATACAGTGGAACAACGCAATTTCCAAATCCGTTACACCTTCCAACATCAGAGATAATGGTACTTTATTTATATGGTTCCACTGCTTCATGCCAACAGAAGTGCAAGGCAGATAAAAATGAACCAGATTCCTTTACTGCATTTCTGCATGGGTGAAGAATAATGTTTAGAAACCACTGCATGCAGCTGATATACAGGAGCCCAGCCGGTCCACACCATGCTGCACGTGTGCGGGTGTGACACTGAAGATATGTTTTCAGGCAAAATAACACAGAATTTTTATCATCTCCAAAGCTAGTAGAGGCACTGTTGATATTAAAAGTCAACAAAAGAAGTTTTACATCAGCAATGGAATCATTTTTCAGACTGCTTACCTCTAAAATTAAAATATTAGGGGAATACATGTATAGCCAAGTGATTATTGGCCACCTTTTCTGGTTTGTACATGAACGCCCTGCAAGAACTGGAGCAACACTGGTGTTGAAAGAGCCTGACTTTGTTGTTTGCTGAATGTTGTATCTTAATTCAGCATTTACCTGACTCTTCATTTATGTATTAGCCAAAAAAAAAAAAAAAAAGTTTCCTCAAAGGAAGAAAAAGCTATCAGAAAATCCATGTTGGTTTGGGTTGCATCCTTTGAAGAAGAAAGCAAAGGTGGTGGGACAGAAGGAAAACTTAGAATGTGCAGGGCAAGAGAGTTGTAACGAGTTCTGACACCTTTTCTATGAGCTATATGACCTATCTCCATTATTATTTTACTGTTCTGACCATATTAAGTAATAAGCTTAAGATGCTTATCTCACAGATAACAGTATAGTAATATCATCTACATAAGCATATAGATCTGTGTTCAGTTCTCTAAACTTGAAGTTGTAAAATAAAGAAGTATGTGAGTATAGCTTTGATTTTGCTTATTATTAGTAGTGTTAGCATTCAGTTGGATCATATAAGAATACTTCAGATTTATGTTATTTAAATCTCCTTATAAGCCAGTTTTTCGCCATGGGATCGTGCTTGGTTTGGGATTGCAAATAAAAGCTTAGGAGCTAATTTCTTTTAAAAAAGGCTTTGATCACATTCTGTCCTGCATGAGTCATTATAAATTGTCAGCATGATACAGCTCTTGTTTTGAAGAGGTGTTTTTTAAATAAGGAAATGATAAACAGTATCTCGGACACATGCGTTTTCAATCCTTGTTGCTGTCTAATCATGTCTATGACATAATTAAGCAGAAAAATCCTCAGAAAAAAAGCTATTTCCTTTGTGTATGTAAGGCCAGCATACATTTGACTCCCTTATGATTTTGCCATGGCTTAGGCTGCTTTTCTTGGTCCTTGTGCATAATGCTGTAAGGGTGCACTTGATATCTTGAGAGGTAGTGTTGGCAGTCTTGTTCTCCATCCCCTAGCCTCCCCTTCGTCAGTTCAAAATGATACATATGAACCTGATACATGAACCTGATCTAAACAGCGGCATGAACACAAACACTTGGTGACAGCATTAGAAATGAGGTATTATTGCTCTTTACTGCCTACATCTAGTTTGCAAGAAACCTCACAAATAAAGATAATGCTTGACATTTATTCCTTTTGTAAGTTAAATAAATTAAAGGTTTCAGTTCTGTCATTGTGACTTTTTTCATTTTCAGACATTTATCATTACTTATTTCTGCATTCAACATTGCAAGTTACAGGAAAGAGAAAAGCAAAGAAAGTGAAAGAAAGGCATAAAAGTGTCCCATGGACAAGTAGAATGAAACCCATGTACATGTTTTTCAGGAGATGCGTGAGTCCATGCCCACAGTAAGAGGACAGTTGAAAAAACACCAACATAAAACCTTGTACTTTGTCAAACCAGAGGCCCGTCTAGTCCTGTGATGTTGAGCAGTGGTCTGTAATGTGCACCCATGAAGTATCAGAGCAGTAAAAGGACATTTTGCCCTCAGTACTCTCTCTCCTCCAGCGCTTCTGTTCAGGAACTTCTGAGATAACTCCTGGCATTTAAAAGCTTTTGCTGGAATTTCTTTTTTATTACTTTGGTCACTTTTTGAACCTGTGTAAACTTTTAGGGGTTACAGTGCCCCAGAGCAAGGAGTTCCGCAGCTTAATATATGTTGTGTGAAGATTCAGTAGGGATTTTTATGTTTTAAACTTGCCCATTTCATTTGATTTCCCCCACCTCATGTTAGAAGAGGCTGTAAACAGGGGACTCCCAGACACTTTCCCTGTCCTGGTCCTGATTACACCTTTGCTGTATCCCCTCAGCTATCTGCTTTTGAGACCTGATGAATCTTTGGCTTCTTAGTTGTTCCTTAGTTGTTAGGTTTTACCATAAATGTGATTATCCCTGCTGCCCTGCCTACAGCCATGTCCAGTCTACTGTATCCTTTCAGAGGCAGTGGGACCAGAACTACATGCAGTATTCAAGACAGACAAACTAGCCATTTATACAGTGGTATAATACTCTCTCATTCTTTGTTACTTTCCAAGTAATTTCTAATACTCACTTTTTCATTGTTAGTAAACAGTAGACTAATGTTTTCACAAAGCTATCTATTACAACACTAAGATCTCAGTCCTGAAGTAGTAATGGAGCTTGGAGCTTGGAGCTCCATTACCTTGGAGCACATCATTTTGTTAGATATTTTCCCCTCAAAGAAATGACTTCGTATTTGTTTATCTACACTGACTTTAATTTGCCTTTTTATTGCCTAATCACTCAGTATTGTAAAGTCTTTTGTCATAGTCAGCCCTTATCTTAGCTACCCTGAATGAATATCAGCAGCTAAGTTTGTCACCTCACTATTTATCCTGTTTTCCAGCTCATTTATAAATAAGTGAGCAGCTCCCAGGTTCCAGCACAGATCCCTGCAGGACTCCACCATTGACCTCTCTCCACTTGCAAAATTGACAGTATTCTCCTACCATCTGTTTCTAATTATTTATCCTTGCAAGGACATTTATTTTTATCCTCTGGGAGGTTAGTTTTTTCTAAGACTTATGTATGACAGATTCATCAAATGTCTTTTGGAAATCCAACGCGACTTTGTTAATAAAAATTTCCATGGTATGCATTACTTTTTACTTCTTTGGAATTTTGTGGAAAATGACTTAAAATGTATGTGTTGATCCAACCTTACTCCCTTCCTTTCATCACACAAATATGCCGTGTTTGTGCACGTGCTGGCATACACTGTTGTTGCCTTTCATAGTTCTTACCAATTTATGTGGTACAGGTGCCAGTCTTTCTGTGATTCACCAGGTT